TCATAAGATAATGAATTTCTCCATTAGGAGAAGAACGAACTTGAATAAAATTTAGTTCGTTGGATGTTATCGATTACCCATATATAGGATATATATATACTTCTAAAAACAATATGATTGTCAATTAGAAGATCTTCCAAAATTTTCATAACTCCATAAGATGTAGTTGGAAAGAAAGACAAATCTTAAACATGTTAAGATTTGGGGTTGTGTGCTAATAAGCAATATTTGTTTGATATGATCAACAAAAATAACAACCTAGTTCCTACACCACAAGCTCCAAGGTAGTCGAGAAGGATTTATAAATCGTCTCAGTTGAATGGTTTGAACTTTATGACTATGTCATAGAGTTACACCTCTTAATTCGAAAGAAATAAGAATGAAAATCCTTATGACTACACTGAGTGTATATATATGACATATACTCAAGGAAATGGTAAAGTACCATTTGAATCGAAATAATGAAACCTTAATAGCTAATCGGTAGCTTAAGGTGACTACACTCAAAGAAAATGGTTGACTTTGAAGAAACCGTCTTTGACATAGTCTTAGTTTCAATTAATTCGAAGATTGCTAGAAACAACTAAATGGTGATTCAATGTTTGGACATAATATGGGTTTCCGAAACCATTATCAAGATAGTCTTGATAATATATGTCTAAAACTAAGAATCACAAGACATATAAGTTGTAGAGATCCATCCATCATGAATCTCAGCAAGTTAGTGGGAGCTATAAAGCATCTTATGAGAAAAAGGATCAAATCGTTTGATTTCTCATAAAGATGTAAATGAATCTTTTGTTTACTAGGTTTACAAAAGATTAGTGGGAGTTAATCATATTCCTAAATTTGAATATATATACATGATATATATTAATTTTGAAAATGAAAGGAATTCTTCATCGTTAAAGTTATGACTTTAAACATTCTATAATGATAGAATGTATATGGGAGACATAGTCTATATACATGGGATGGAAATCTATAATGATAGATTTCAAGATATAATTGGATTATATCAATCCCTAAAATAGACAAGAGATGCTAGGAAGTTTCTCATATGATGATAAACTTCAATTAGAATGACAATTCTAGTGAGACTAGGAAGTTGTTCTTCTCAAAGGGAATGTACCCTTTGACTCCCAAAGAAATAATGCGTAAATAGAATCATTTATGCATACGCAGAAAGGTGATTTATGTATTTCATATTGTATGAAAACATTGATATAAGTTGTACCTAGAACGGTACAAGATGATATCAGTGCAAGCCCAGGATCAGAACCATGGCAACTGTCAAGTGAATCCTTAGGTATTTAAGAAATACTAAGGATGGATTCCTCAAGAATGAGGAAGAATTAGAGTAATGTAATGGAAGCGTAAATGTATTAGATTATGAATCTAATCCATCATAGAATATCTCTTCATTATGAATGAAGTGATAATGAGATATCTCTTTATTATGACTAAAGAGATATTTGGGTGGAAACGTTAAAAGTAATGACTTTAATGTGTTCCATCATGTATGCAAAATATATTGCCATATAGAAGCTTACAACATTGTTGTTTGGATGGGAAAGTTCATTTATGAACTCTCCATTCGGTTCCAACCAGAAAGTGTATGACACTAATGGGGCGATAACTCAAGCCAGGGAATCAAGGTCTCATCAAGGTCCGAACTCAAATGAGAGACTGAACCACATGATTGGGAATCATGAATAATGGTGACGTCGTTATTCTCAAGGTTGCTTCTATGGATAACATATAGATATCCATCTTGTTTAGGCCTACTACTCAGCCATTTATGAAATGAATTACAGAAGAGGTATCATCACAGATAACCAAGCTGATTGGCTCTAGTGCAAGTGGGAGATTGTTGGAAATGTGCCCTAAAACCAATCATATGATGATACTTTACGGACATTTCACAAAGTTAAACTAATGTAGTTTAAATGTAAAGGGCAAACATTATTGTTTGAGCCGTCTCATATAAATGTTATATGCTTAAACGATAAGTCCAAGGAATATGTGATTGGGAGAATGTGATCTAAAGAAGTTAGATTCATGAGACCATTCTTTCGTAGACACATCCTAAACGTTCCTGATCATAGGATTGCCAATTGGGCATTGACAGTCCGTTAAGATCAGTACGTGCTGTGTCTTCTCTCAGGGAGAGTGACTAGTCTCAAGTCATTGGTGTGAGTGACACCAAGACAAGCATGTAGGTGCTCAATAGAGAATGAGTTCACTGAACACGATCAACGAAGAGTTCTCATATTCATGTCACATGAGAACTCATGGTTGGGATAATGCAAATTAGTCTTTTGACCTGAGGCATCACAGTTGTCTTGTGGTTAGGTCCCTAATCTTTGATTATGTCAAAGTCACTCCATCAGGAGGGTGTCCACGACATCGTTGGGGTTAAGCCACTTAGTCATAGAGGCAAGTGAATGCGCAACAAGGGATCTCTAACCTTCAAACTGTTTGAGGGAGAATACTCTATGATATGATTAAGAATCTTTGGCCAAAGTATGAATGAGATTTAGGAATGTGTTCCAAATCACATTCAAGGTAATCATATAAGCACAAGACTCACATTGGATAGTAGACATGAATAAACTATCAAACCAAACAATGTGGTCAAGAGTATTGTATTAGAGAAAGACCGTATTGCATTTGTAATCCTAAAACTGAATAGGTTCTCCACCTCTTCTGATTAGCTTGGGTAACCATGACATGCTGCTAGGCGTCAACCATGGTTTTTGGAAGCCCTAAAAGTGTATTATCACTAACGGGAGAATTGAAAGTAAGTTTCAATTCACAATCGATTAGAAAGAGTTTTAATCGCCCACTGCCTCGCTAAAAGGAACCTAATGGATCGTTCACCGAGTAAGGTAGAGTTTGAAGAAACAACGGAGATGAGTAAGAATAATTAAATGGTTTAATTATTTATCTAAGGCTAGGATTAATTAATATGTTAATTAATCAAACGAATAAGTTCGTTAAAGACCTCGGGTTAGTTTTGGGCCGCAAGGCCCAATGGGATTTGAATGTCAAGCCCATTAACTCAAGTTGTATGACAACTTGAATAAACAAAGGGCTTGAAAGCCCAATAAACCCTATAGGCCGGCCATGTTAGAAGAATAGGGCTTTTGGTCCATTAGGTCACTTATTTGAAGGGACTATATAAAGGACTTTATAGCCTAAAATTCATTAAGGGTTGTTTTTTGGGGAAAGGATAAGAACACAAGCTCTCCTTTCTCTCTAAAATTTCGGCCACCTTGGAGGGATCATCTAGCAATCAAACTCCTCCAAGGTCACTCATTTCTTCTTCATTATGCCTTGGTGATGAATCATTAGAGGTTCTCAATTTTGGGAACTTTGGAGAAACCTTTTTTATCCATCCAAATCCATAGATCTAAGATGCAAGGAATGAAGGCCCTCTCTTTGGGTGATTAGCCTTTATTTAAATACAAAGAGGAATCTACAAAGGTATATATTTCAACTCACTTTGTTTTGAGTTGATTATTGGTTCACCATTTTACTAGACTTTGAACATTCATGGGTAATGTTTTGTTTTTAAGTGCATGCTAGCATGATTCCGCCTTTAATTTGTTAATTGCATGCTAATGATGTTGCTTAAATGAACATGTCATCTTCCAAAATAATCCTTCAGGACTTACTCTTAATGTAAATAATATCGTTTGTAAAAAAAATCCAAAATTAAAGGTATGAATTGAGGGTAGTGTCTTATATCTTCTTTTTGGTCAAATAACTAAGTTCTAAGTTGTGAGAGAGGATTCTTGCCGGATCCCCTTTGTTAGGATTTTGGAGATCCTCCAATCACATCCGTTCATCGTAAGTTATGCGATTAGTTTTTATCAGATATTGTTTATATTCAATTTTAAATAAAAATTTTACAATAATTTCTAATTGCACAATATATTATGAACCAATATGATTTGAAAATCTCCGATTCCTCACAAAAAGATCCTCACTCGTAAGTTGTAACTGCTGGCGACTTTTGTGGATTTCTTGTGGCGGTGTCAATCCGAGTGAAATTTATTACCTTGCCAATATTGGAAATCCAATGGTTCAGAAAACTAGCCGTTGGAAATCCAATAGCCGAATAAGCGCCACATGGCTTCTCCCCGCTCCCCTTTATTGCGTCTGAGACGGCAGGCCCTGCCGTCTTTTTTTTTTTCAGTCAAGAACGCACGCCCACTAGCGCGTGTTTCTCACTGACTCGTGTTTCCCACACGACTAACGCAAAAAAAATTATTGGGTCTCGCTGACGTCACATAGGCCGGTACATTACTCAGCACATTTTGGGCCACCCTATATGCTGGCTTGGGCTATGGGTTGGCCTATTTGGATTGGCTAGAGGGGATTTGAGTGAAGCCAATCTATTTTTTAGGCTTTGTCCCAGCCTATCCCATTGTGGTGGACTTACTCTTAATTTAAATAATATCGTTCGTAAAAAAAATCCAAAATTAAAGGTATGAATTGAGGGTAGTGTCTTATATCTTCTTTTTGGTCAAATAACTAAGTTCTAAGTTGTGAGAGAGGATTCTCGCCCAATCCCCTTTGTTAGGATTTTGGAGATCCTCCAATCACATCCGTCCATCGTAAGTCATGCAATCAGTTTTTATCAGATATTGTTTATATCAATTTTAAATAAAAAATTTACAATAATTTTTAATTACACGATATATTATGAACCAATATGATTTGAAAATCTCCGATTCCTCACAAAAAGATCCTCACTCGTAAGTTGTAACTGCTGGCGACTTTTGTGGATTTCTTGTGGCGGTGTCAATCCGAGTGAAATTTATTGCCTTGCCAATATTGGAAACTACTCCGAATCAGAGAAGGAAAAAATCATCCTCATATGACACTTGACACGGTTTAGTTTAATCTCCGCTACCCCCACACGGTTTAATCTCCGATACGCTTCCGTAAAACCCACCATATAAACACCGCGTTCTCGTCCTCCTCAATCTTCACAATTCCTCATTCGACTTCTGCACCTCTCTCTCTCTCTCTCTTTCTCTCTAAAAAAAACTTGTTTTTTGCGAACTGGGTTTTTGAACTCGCCGGCGACAATGAGGGTCAGCAACAACCTGGTGGGTCTCCTCAACTTCATAACTTTCCTGCTGTCGATTCCGATCGTGTGGGCCGGAGTATGGCTGAGCAAGCAAGGCAGCACCGAGTGCGAGAAGTTCCTAGACAAGCCCGTCATTATCCTCGGCGTATTCCTGATGCTGGTGTCGCTGGCCGGCCTAATCGGCGCCTGCTGCCGGGTCTCGTGGCTGCTGTGGGTCTACCTACTCGTCATGTTCCTCCTCATCGTTGTCCTCTTCGCCGTCACCATCTTCGCCTTCGCCGTCACCAACAAAGGCGCCGGAAAAGTGATTTCCAACAGAGGGTACAAGGAGTACAAGCTCGGGGACTACTCGCAGTGGCTGCAGAAGAGGGTTAACAGCACCAAGAACTGGAACAAGATCAAGAGCTGTCTCATTGACAGCAAGGTCTGCTCTACTTTCAGGGACAAGTATGTCAATGATACCATCCAGACCTTCTATTCTGAGAACCTGTCAGCGCTTCAGGTATCATATTTTCTTCTTTTTTGTTTTGGGTTCTTTTTGAATTCTGCTTAATCCTTGCTCCAGATCTGAATTTTTTTTCTTCAACTGGGTTGAAATGTTAGTCTCTGAACCCGTCTTTGGTGAAATTTGTTTTGATTTTAATCTAGATTTTGTTTCCAGTCTTGGATATGTTTGTTTCTGGGTCTGAGTTGTGGTTTCTGAATGTTGATAACGTTCTAATTTCTCTGATTTTATCTGGGTTTTAATAATTTTTCTCCCCTTTGTGCAGTCCTTTGAGATCTGAACAATATGTTAAGATCTGAATATTGTAGTTCAACTTTTTTGGTTTTACATTATCATTATCTTGCATGTTGGTGTAGGAGGTCTGACTTTTTCGAATTTTCGAATTTTGGATTGAACAAGTAATTTAGAGATATTTGATTGTGTTAGAATATCAATTTCATTCATTGTCTGGTATAAAATGACTTTTGAAAAGTTCAATTGATGGATAAAAAGGCTTTATTCTTTGCTTTACCTTTCAATCAAATCCCGTCTTACTAGTCATTTTGTGGTTGGAGAGCTGTCTCTGTTCTTGTTCGGTGTACATTCCAATGTTGGGGGTGCCCCCGTTACTACGCTTTTTGTTAGACTCTTGTAATACTTTACGTTAGTGGTTTTCCGGTGGCACTTTGATTCTTGACGACTGAATTAGGTTCTTGTAAGCTGCAAAATATTGTCCATAAATTGTTATGCCAGGGGAATAATGGTATCATCTCACGGGTTTGCATCTTTTATTCACTAGAGAGTTGGTGGTCGTGCTTCCTTGTAACATCATGCTTTTTTGAAAGTGCATATAGTTGGTGTCATGAAAGAAAATAAGAATCCCTTTTAGAAACAAGCTGTTGTGGACGCCCTACCTACCGCCTTGCATCCACATCCACATGTGTATTTATACCCGTTAATTGTGCTTTAAACAATCCCATTTGAAATTACCTCTTCACTCCATTACAACTGGGTAGGACTAATAAGAATGTCTTGGGAGTAATTGCTATCCATGGTTCTTGATGTCTTTGAGTTGTATGTTTTTTCACTTGTTTGGCTTTGTATACATTTAGTAAAACCACAAACTGAACTGCCCTGTGCATTGTGCGTAGTTATTTCGTTTTTCACCTTGTCAAATGTAACGGTTCTTCTAATGTGTTTACTTATTTGCAGGCTGGTTGCTGTAAGCCATCGGATGATTGTGGATTTACCTACGTGACCCCCATATCCTGGACCAATAACGGTACCACCGTTTCCTCCAACCCTGACTGCAGTGCATGGCAGAATGATGAAAAGGTTCTGTGCTTCAACTGTCAGTCGTGCAAGGCTGGACTGCTGGACAACATAAAAAGTAATTGGAAGAAGACGGCCATTGTCAACATTGTATTCCTTATCTTCCTCATCGTGGTGTATTCGGTTGGATGCTGCGCGTTTAGGAACAACAGGAGGGACAATGGATATTGGAAACAGTAAGCGACACTGAGTTCGATCAGATATTGGCATGTAAGTAGAGAATAGTTTGGCATTGGCAGCTAGCTCTTATTAGTGGAACATATCTTATTGACCAGGGTTATTGATATTAATCTCCTGTATAAAGTCTTTGATCTCATTTGGTTTTGGCTACGACGTCGTTCAGCTGCTATTTTGATGTTTTATCAGCTGCTATGCGAATGAATCTCTGTTTGTTTTGGAAAGACTTATTTGTGTGTGCATGCCCTGTCATTTCGTTTTACTTATTTATTTAATATTTTAATTGGTCGTCGACGTATGTCATTTTCTCGTATGCTCCAAATATTTGTATATACATGTACGTTATGCATGAGCGTATATCTATTTGTTTATTGAGTCGGGATGTATACAAACGGTGATAATATTATTCAAGAAAATACTTGTTATGGTATTTTAGATTATTAACTTGGGGACAATTGGAGTGTGAGATCACAGTAAACCAGTGGTGTTGACTTTGCAGATAAGAGAAAGTTGGGGTAGTTTACAAAAGTTAACACTTTATCAGTTTATGGCAACAAGAAAAAGTGAAAGTCGTGTTAACAGTTGAAGTGTCGAGAACGTCATACGTATAGTTGAAGGAAGGACCATAGAATTGTTATTAAGTCAGGACTATAGGGTTTTGATTTGATACTGGTGGATGGACCACAAGTCCACTATCTTTATGAAGTTGGATTTGTAGTTGTTGGTTCAACTACCACTCTTCAGCTTGTGGCTGCCTAATGGCTGTACATTTCATCTTTTTGACATGAAATTTGAGCTTGTGGTTCAACTACCATCATCTTTCTAAAATATTATAAATTTGAGCTTACAACTCTGACAATAATAAACTAAGTAGTACTCCGTCACAAATAACTTTTTATTTGAGGGATCCTCAAATAACTCCCTCAAAGTGTGGCCCACTATCTAAATGTTTTCAATTCAAGGATCTAAATATTTATATTTTATTTTATAATTCATAGATCATTTTTTAATAAAATAAGTTAATTCAAAACTATTAAGACATTCAATTGTATTTGATAAATTCTTCAATTAATTATAGCTTGACGTAAACAAATAGTTGCATTTCACAAAAAAAATACAGGTTTTTAACTTTACTCTATGGAACTCAATTTTGATCTCACTTTGCTCCCTAAAATTCAAAAACTCGCTACTTTAGTCCTTGAAACTAAAAATTCTCTTTATACTCCCTTGTTTCTATTTTTTTAAATCAGTTCATCGATTCAATATTTATAATTGGTAATATTTCAAATTTATCCTAAAATAAATGTATAGTTAAAAAGAACAAAAAGAGCCATCTGTTCTGACACACCTCGACCGAGATCGGGGCATGCTGGCCGTCACGTGGAAGTGACATAACCATGTGCACAGTGCAGAAGCTAATAAATAATAATAAAAGTACGAATAAATAAAAACCAGCTATACACAAAGTAAGAACATACATGTGCAAGCGTAAGTGTGAAAACAAAGTTCAGAGCACGAAGACCTAATTCAGTCCAGGAGAAACAACACTACATAAACACACCCAAAGGTAGTCCTACACTGGCGATAATCTGTCAAATATGCCGGGAAAATCCTTTGGGGAGCCACCACAAGTGCTAGCCAACTAGAACCTGGAGGGGCGCAAAACAAAAAGCGTGAGTGGGCAAAAACAAAGCTTTTCAAAAACCATTTCATAAACAAAGTTCTAACCTCTCGCCGTAAAACCTGTACACTTCCCAGAAAATAGAATATACATATATATATATGTCATGCTCAGAAATATGCCATGCCAAATGTCTCGAAATAAAATGCAAGTACTCAGGTAACGCCAAAACAATGCCATGTAATCTGTCAGCCGGAGTCACCTAACGTGACCTGTACGGCTGAATATAAAGCTCAAATCTCCATCTCACTAACTATACCTGCACACGAGTCGAAATCACATAAAGTGGTCTGTACGACAGGACTGGGTGTATAATAAGTACACTCAAGTGCTACGATCACGTGAAGGCTGGACGAATAATCGTGGGTCACCTACAAGTCGGAACCACCTAAAGTGGTCTGTACGACAGGACTATGCACCTAACTTGGATCCAAGATGAGCGTGTGGTGCGAGAGGTGAACATCACGTGAAGGACTATGCCCAACTCTGGGCGGGAGCACTAACATCGGGGGTGCAGGTTATGAGCTCTCTATGCATCTCAAATCACTACTGAACATAGACATAAATCATAACTCACCTGGCACTTACCTGTGTGTCCACAGCACCAAACATATATACATATGCGACTAATAATGCATAATTAAATGGGCAAACATAATGCATGGCATATAAACGTATAAACGTTTCATTTCACTTTCTGGGAAAAACATAAGTATATAGGAATATACGGAAAACCAAAAGCCCACTTACTGGTATGTAGAAGGGTCGTAACCCCCTTACCTCGAGTGACCGCACTCGTCCTCGGAATAGGTCTCACCTATATGCGAAACAACTATAAAAACGTTAATTTTAAAGCGCATAACCAACCTTACGAAATAACTTCCCATACAAAGCTCAAATGGGGTGTATGAATACACCAATGTGACCTCAGGAACATCCCCATATTTTTAGAAAAATTTTCCGACGCTGCACACGCCCCCACGCGCTAGCCAAGGCACGGCCACACTCGCCGCCCACGCGCAGGCACGTGCCTGGCACACTGACGGCGTCAGGAATATTTCATTAAAACTAACTGATGCCGTTAACGCCGTTAGGAATATTCCGTCCAAACTGACGGAATATTCCGTCAGCTTCTCCGGCTAAACTCCGGCGCTGTCGTCGGCGCCGGAGCGATGGAGCCGGAAAACCGGGAAATTTTTAAAACTTTGTATCTTCTTCGTTTTTCAACCAAATTTCACAAAATTGGTACCAAAATTAAGCTTACAACAAGAGGAACAAATCCATACCACTTTCAAGCACTAAAACCCACAGAATCTCGCCGGGAAAACACCACCAACTCCGCCCAAACTTGTAACTCATGATCCCGACGTCCAAAACCATCAAACGAACCACCCCCGAGCCTCCTAAGGACCTCACCAAGCTTCCTACAAGCTTGAAATTCCCAAAACACACAAGAATTAACGTGTGCATGAACAGTGACCAAATCGGGGGATCCTGAGTTTGACGTGAAAACGAAGGTATCCTTACCTGAAATGGGTATGGTTGAACTCCTAAGGAGCTCACGAGCACGAATATGTAATTTGTTTTCTCAATCTGTGAAGGTTTGATAATTTCTTTTTTTTTTTTTTTTGTTTGTTTCAATACATTTGTCACCATTTGATTGGATACATGAGCTTTGTATTTGTGCCTCACCAGCCGTAAGTGGCCTTAATTATGCCACATAAGTAAATTTAACAGTTATTTAACGGAATACATAGAAACAAGTCCAAATGGAGTGAATATTGAGTTTCAGGGAGTAAAGTGACAATTTTGGCATTTCAGGAGACAAAGTGAGATTGAAATCGAGTTTCAGGAAGCAAAAGTGGCAACTATTGAATTTTAGGGGCAAAGTGAGATCAAATTTGGGCAAAGTGAGATCAGTTCTCAACGTCTTCAGATTGAATCCACTTTGTTTCTCTCCATAGGCCTTAAATTGCTAGAAAAAAGAGAATGCTTCTGACTTTTGTTCTAGAAAATAAACCCACATCATCCTGCTATAGTCATCAACAAAAAGAAGAAAATATTTCTTGCCATTAAAAGATGGTGTCCGAGTCGGTTCGCATATATCTGAATGTACCAACTCAAGAGGGGCTCTTGCTTTCCATGTTGATTCTGAAAATGGTAAGCGGTGGAATTTTCCAAAAATACAACCTTCACGTATTTCTTTCTTAGACTGAACGGAAGGAAGGCCAACCACCATATCTTTCTGGTGTAAGAGGTGTAGACTTCTTTGATTTAGATGTCCGTACCTCATATGCCACAATAGTGATTCTTCTACATTTTCGGCTTCCAAAACATAGTTTTCTTCTGATGTCATGATCAACGGAAAGACTTTGTTTTCTTCAGAAATAACACAGTGGTCATCATCAAATTTAATAGAGAATCCTTTTTGTAGGAGTTGTCCTACACTTATAAATTTTGTGCCAAATTAGGAACATATAGCACATCATAGATTAGTTTTGGTGTACCTTCTCGAGTTTGAATAGAGATAATACCCTTGCGTTCCACGTTGTGAAGCTTTCCATCTCCGAGCTTGACTTGTGAATTCACATTTTCTTCAAATTTGACAAAACATTGTCTGTTTCCCGTCATGTGGTTACTGCATCAGCTATCCACGTACCATATATCTTGTGGTTCTTGACGAGCGCTGAGACATGTATAAAATAGTTGCTCTGGAGAATCATTATTTTCTGTGAGATTGGCTTCATTATTTTTCTAATATCTGCAGTCTCTTTGAGAATGGTTGGGTATTATGCACCGGGTACACTTATACCGACAATCTGCACTTTTGTGCCAGTCTTTTTACAAACATAACATTCAGGGACAAAGTTACCATTTTGGTTGTTTTGATGGCTGCGTCCTTGCTGATTGTTGTTGTTATAGTTGCCTTTGTTGTAATTATTCCGCCAATGAAATTTACTTTTTCTATTTTGAGACTTTTGAGATTCTCCTTTTTGTTTGTCTTCTTTCTCCTTCGAATCCAATTTGGATTGAAAGCCTTGCTCCAAGGATTGGTCTGTAGACCTATTAATCCTTTTTTCATGTGCTTCCAAAGAACCAATTAGTTCATGGAGCGAAAGTGCAGCGACATCCTTTGACTCCTCTATTGCTGCAACAACATGATCGAACTTCGGCGATAGACTGCATAGAGTTTTTTCTATAATTTTCTTGTCTAGAATTGCATCCCCATAACTTCTAATTGGGTTAACAATTCCATAAACTTTTGTGAAGAAAACTTCAATGGATTCGTTCTCCTTCATTAGTAAATTATCAAACTCTCGCCACAAGGATTGGAGTTTGATGGAGATCACTTTCTGCGAACCTTGGAACTCAATTTTGAGTATTTCCCAAGCATTCTTTGATGTAGTTGCAGAAAGTAATCTTGGAAAGAGATTTTTGCTTACTCCCTGTTGAATTAGGAATAAAGCCTTGGCATCTATCTTTCTATTTTCTTTAAGTGCTTGTTGCGATTCCAGTGTCGCTTTTCCCGTCGATGTTTTTTCCGGCTCCTCGTAACCATCT